CAAGGCTGGCGACCCAAGCCTCCACCTCAATGAGGTCGGGTCCCTGGAACACCCACGACCAGGCGGGCCACCTGGTCCGTGTAGATACGGTGCCCAGAACCACATTCGCCAGCCCCCTTGCCCAATGGGAACCAGGTGGCACTCATCCATGAGCCTCCGACGGCCAGGTTGGAAGTGATCCGAGTGTGGTGTACTGGCACACAGCGGACAGGACTGTACCGTGCTACTCGTCGCACCCACCACCACCCGACATTGGGTTGTTTTATCCCCGTCACGGCAGGAGTGACGGGGCCTCGAGATCCTGGACTGCCCCCCGCCTAGACGCGGACGGCCAGGCGGTGTCAGCCGCCAGACCCAAGGACCCCGCCCTTCCCACCGCGGCGCAGACTTGTAACATCCACGACTACAGGTTTTCTTTCCCCCCCCAGGGTCAAACCCGGGGTGGCGAACGGGAGGAAATCCGTTTGTTTCTTTGGGAAGAGGACTCAGTAGCACACAGGTGTGGGGAGGAGGAAGAGGAGGAGGAGGAGGAGGAGGAGGAGGAGGAGGAGGAGGAGGAGGAGGATGAGGACGAGTAGGAGGAGGAGGCGGAGGAGGAGGAGGAGAAGGAAGAGACGGAGGAGGAGGGGGAGGAGGAGGAGGAGGAAGAGGAGGGGGAGGGGGAGGAGGAGGAGGAGGAGGAGGAGGAGGAGAACAAAGAGGCCTCTTGATCGTCTCGAGGCTACCGCAGGCCTCCAACAGCTTCCAGAGGCCAAGGAAAGACAGAAACGGTAAAACTTCCCGAGCTCCGATGATCGATTCTTCATTCTCGACATTTGAAGTCTGAACAGTCCGAAACATCCAACTCTTATCCTGCTCATTCAGTCATTCTTCTACAGATATGTATCGACCAATGCCTGCAGGTGTAGATGTATAGTATACACATAACGACACACACGAATTACACGTCATGTGTATATCCGTAAGGGCTTCGCCCGCTGCCGCCTGCCCCCGCTCTGTCGCATTTAGATGTGTCAGAGCGATGTGGGGATAACTCGGCATCGTTTGTAAGACGTCCGGGAGCCGCATGCGAGGGCGATTGGCATTCGACAACAACCTTGAGATGTTGGGGTTGTTGTTGTTGTTGTTGTTGGTGGTATCGTCGTCGTCGTGGTCGTCGTGGTCGTCGTTTTTGTTGTCGTTGCCGTTGTCGTTGTCGTTGTCGTTGTTGTTGTTGTTGTTGTTGTTGCTGTTGTTTTTGTTGTTGTTGATGTTGTTATTGTTGTTGTTGAGCTTGGTGCGTCTCAGAATAATTCCTCTTCGGACGATCGTGTGCGGGTGCTCGAAGCGCCGGCCTTGGCAACATCGGGCAGTTGGGACTGTCTTCAACTGGGTGGCTGCGGGTCCAGCCCCGATGCTGCGGGAAGCATGCGGGGTGGGGTGGGGTGGGGTGGGGTCCTGGTGTGCGAGATGGACGGGGGGGAATTGAAGAGCGCCCCACGAACACAGCGAACACTGCACATATGTCCTGTCCTGGGAGGGGAGGAGGAGGAGGAGGAGGAGGAGGAGGAGGAGGAGGAGGAGGAGGAACCTCCCCGGGGCGGGCTTCTGTTCGGGAGGTGTTGTTCGCAGTGGGGCCTCGACCCCCATGCGCAGTTCGCAAGGCACCGTGGCCTCGCGAGCGCGAGCACTTTACAGGGGAGTCTGGGATCGGGAACCTGGACCTCGGGATCGGGATCGGGAACCTTCTCATCCTCGTCCTCTTCCTTCTCTTCCTCCTCGCTCCTCCTCCTCCTCCTCCTCCTCCTCCTCCTCCTCCTCCTCCTCCTCCTACTCCTACTCCTACTCCTACTCCTACTCCTCCTCCTCCTACACGAAGGGATCGGGAACCTGGCGCGTGTTACGACGGATTCTGGCCGCGATACCGCCAAAGTGGCGTAATGCGCACAAGGGTTCTGGCCTCGGGGGCACGAGCCTGGAGTGATTTGCAAAGGGTTCTGCCCTCGAGATCGCGAAACCACAGTACTTCTCCTGTCTCCCAGACCCACCGGAAATTCAGGCAACACGAGTCGGGGACGGTACCTGGTTCCTGTTCGGCCGCCCCCCCTGTCGCGGACAGTCACAATTCACAGCAGGAGGCAGAAAGCATGTTCATCACATTGGCGACCTGAAAGTTGAATTGCAACAGATTGCTGGAAGCCTCCGCCACGCAGCCTGGTGGCCTCACAAGGGCGGTTTCGGATACATGTGTATATATATATATATATACAGTGAGCGGCTTGAGTAAGGATCACTTACTTTTCAAAAGGGGCTCGGTCGTTCCTTAGGCTTGCATGCGTTATTTATCGTTCCTTATGCGGTATGTTTCATCTGTCGCCCCTTATATGTTACCTATATGACCACCCTTCGGGTGATAAGGAGGTGAGGGGGGGAAGGGACCAACGTCGCACTCGATCGATCTTACTATCGAACTCACTACCGATCTCACAATCGATCTCAATCGATCGATCTCACAATCGATCTGACTATCGATCTCACAATCGATCTCACCATCGATCTCACATTCGGTCTCGCTATTGATCTCACAATCGATCTTACATTCGATCTGACTACCGATCTAACTATCGAAATCACTTTGGATCTCATTATCGACCGTACATTCGGTCTCACTACCGATCTCACTATCGATATCACAACCGATATCACAATCGATCTCACATTCGGTCTCACCACCGATCTCACTATCGAACTCACTATCGATCTCATTATCAATCTCAATCGATCGATCTCACAATCGATCTGGCGATCGATCTCACAATCGATCTCACAATAGATCCCACTATCGATCTCACATTCGGCCTCACTGTCGATCTCACTATCGATATCACAATCGATCTCACAATCGATCTCCCATTCGGTCTCACAATCGATCTCACTACCAATACCAGTATCGATCTCACAATCGATCTCACAATCGTTCTGACATTCGGTCTCACGCTCGATCTCACAATCGATATCACTATCGATATCACTATCGATCTCACATTCGACCTCACTATCGATCTCACTATCGATCGTCAAAAGAAAACACCAACATCATCATCACCATCATCATCAATAACTTCAACATCAACGTCATCATCATCATCCTCATCATCATCATCATCATAATCATCATCATCATCATTATCATCATCATCATCATCATCATCATCATCATCATCATCATCATCATCATCATCATCATCATCATCATCATCGGGTCACCGACGGGACACCGGCGGGACACCGGCGGGACACCGCGGGGCCCCGGCCGCCCGGAAGGGAGACATTTGATCCGGCCGCGCCTCAGCCACACGGGACACCAGCGGGACACCGGCGGGACACCGCGGGGCCCCGGCCGCCCGGAAGGGAGACATTTGGTCCGGCCGCGCCTCAGCCACAGGAGACTTTCTCTCGCCCGCCCACGCAGCATTGCCTCGCCCGCACGGCACGCACGAACACGAAACCGAAATCGATTTCCCGGTAGGGGGGCTCTCCGTTCCACTTCGATCTCACCCCCTCACCTCCGACTTCTTGAAACAAGGAGCTTCTTTCCTCATGTATCGTTCCTTTAGGTCAGGCCGATGACTGTATAGTTGTGTATATCACATACAGACACGCCCAGATCCTGCCACCGAGAGGCGCTCGCCGACGCAGAGGAAGAGGGCCAGGACTCCAAGGCCGCAGCGTGAGACGCGCCGCCGCCGGGCTACCGCCCGCGGCCGCGCAGCTGCGGCGCGGGTGGGCACGACAGGGAGGTGCGCCCCGTCTGCTTCGCCCTCGCGAGCTCCTGCTCCTGCTCATCCTCCACGTCATCGTCCTCCTCTCCCCGATTCCCCTCCCTCCCTGCCCTCTTCGGGGCCACCTCGGGGCCCGAGGAGGAGCCCTATTGGAGCCCACGGGGGCGAGAAGGCCGAGAACGCAGCAAGCAAGCACTTCTTTGTATGGCTGGGGTCTTTCTGGGTGCCTCCGAGGAGAGGCTAGTTGGCCATCTGGAGTCTTGCAGTGTGTTCAGGTAGCTTGGACCCTCCTGGACCGTCTCTCTTGGGCGATCGCAGGGCGCTGTAAGTAAGGCACCAGCGAGGTCCGCAGACCCCCCGTGGGGTGACCCCGCGCGCGCGGACTAGAAACAGATTACAGACCCTGGCGAAGGACCCAACCATATGCAGCCTACGGTTGTGAGTATCGTCTTCGGTGGAGCTCCCTGCGGGGCCACGAAACATGCGAGGAGTGTCCAGAATTGGACGGGAACCGCCTGGGAATTGTACACATGAGGCAGAACGTGCGGGGGGTGTACCGAAACGGGTGTGACGCTATTCTGTGAACTGTGCCTCTGGGTCCTTCGGTGGACCTCCTACGGGGCCACGAAGAGTGAAGGGTGTTTCGAAATGGGTGTGACGCCACCATATGGACGTTGCTTCTGGGGCCTTCGGTGGAGAACCCTATGGGGCCATGAAGCTTGCAAGAAATGAGCGGAAAAAGGGTATGACGCCACCATGTGGACGGTGTTTCTGGGGCCTCAGGTGGGGCTCCCTTTGGGGCCACGCAACGTGTGAGTGGTGTGCCGAAGCGGGCTTGACGCCACCATGAGGACAGTGTTTCTAGTGCCTTCGGTCGAGCTCCCTACTGGGGCCACGATCCGTGTCAGGGGTGTGTCGAAATGAGCGCGCGGAGGGCAGAGGCAAGGCTGACAAGAAGGAGGAGGCGGCAGCGGGGGGAGTGAGACGCGGGGCGCTGTCTCTTTCAACGAGGACCCAGCACGTGACAACTCAACCACACTGCCGGATCTATCACGCTGTTGGCTCGATGGGCCCGCGAATGGCAAGAAATCGCGCTTGCGCGCCATACAGACGACGGACGGCCCTTGCGACCGATACACGACGTGGGGCGAGCCTTCGCGCACGCCGAGGAGGAGGCGGAGGAGGAGGAGGAGGAGGAGGAGACAGAGGACAAACAGAAGGCAGAGGACGACGAGGAGCGAACACTGAATAAGGGGCACTCTGGGAGGAGGTGGGGCAGGAGCGGGAGGAGGAGGAGGAGGAGGAGGAGGAGGAGGAGGAGGAGGAGGAGCCGGCCGCTTCAGGACCCCCGGCACCTGCCCCGCAGAGCCAAGGCCACGCCTGGGCGGGCAGGGGGGCGGCAGGGGCGCCAGGGGCGACGCTGTCCGCAGGCAGAGGCCACCTCGCCGATCTCGAAGGGGGCGCCTACGATAGGTTCGTGTCGCGTCGGCGCGGCGGCGGCCCTGGCGCCGGCGTTCAAGGTTGCTTGCCGCCAGTGGCCCAGAGTCCGCGGACGGCGGGCGATCCACAGTAGCGGGAAGCCGCGCCCTTTTATGATTGACCAATCCACCACGCGGCGTCAGGAATCAACACCGAAGTTGTCACGACGCCAACCTACCGCATGTCGCCCACCCAGCATCGAACATCATCGCGCTCAGTGGACACTTCTTAACAATAGTTGGACGGTTTTGGCCATTCCTGGGACCCAGAAGGCCTCCGGGGACCTCCAGTCACACACAGGCGCACGAAGGTGGTCGCGCTTCGCCGCCTGGGATGGAGGAGCTGTCCTTGAGCATGTCGGCACCACGAGAGCGCGGAAACGACCGCGCCGAGCTTGGCGCACGAGGCGCCGAGATGGGCGACCGACGCCAGCGCCGGCAGCGAGAGCTCGGCGAGAGCCCTCGAGGCGCGGCGGCGCAGGAGGCCCCCTTGCAGCGGCGGAGGCTCCGAGGGCCGCTGCGCCGTGCAGGGTGCGAGCTCCCGAGGGCTCCGCGAGGGCCCCGGGGCCCTCGAGGAGGCCAGGGGCCTCGGAGCCGTGGCGGCACAGGGCGCCTCCTGTGGAGCGGCGGGGGCCCCGACGTCCGCAGGTCCCCACGGGGCGCGAGATCCCGAGGGCTCTGCGGGGACCCGGCGGCCCTCGAGGAGGCCCGGGTTGACCCCCAGGAGGAACGCCGGCGACCGCAGCGCCCACAGGGCGGCAGGTCCCGAGGGCTCTGCAGGGGCCTGGGCGCCCTCGAGAAGGGCCCCGGCTTTCTCTAGCGGGTGCCCCGAAGTCGGGGGCCGCCCGGCGCCGCCGCCTCAGATGCCGAGGTGCTTTCCCCTCGGCGCCCCGAGGCCCGTCCGAGCACAAGCCTGCCCTGCAGCACCCCTCCGCCGTCGTGTCCTCCACCTCCACGCCCACTCCCTCAGCATCCAACACAGATCCAAGCTCTACTGCGACTTCCAGGCGCCGCTCGTCTGTCTGAAATGCCGTGTGTTGCAGCTCAGACAGCCAGTGGGTCGTAAGTGTGTCGTATGGTATCGTATCCTCGGCATCCTCGCTATCGTGCCGAACACGCCTGCCCTCCTCCACCTCTACATCCTGCACCTCCACCTGAGCTGGCCACCACCTCCCCGCCAGCCGCGCGGGGTGCTGGCCAACAACACGGCGCCCCGTGTTGTGGTCAGCAGTCCGCCGTGCCCAGCCAGCGCTGGACCGCAGGAGCTGTGCCATCGAAGCTCGGGATGTCGTGCACTCTGCCCGAGAGGGCGGTGCAGGGGCGCGGGTCAAGGCCGCCTCTGGATGAGGAGCAAAGCGGGGGCAGGACACAGATCAGGGGCCGGCCAGCAGGAGACGAGGAGGTCAGGTGGGCAGGGGTGCCTTGCTGTACCGCCCTCTGTGCTGCGATGTCTCTTCGGCTCTCGGTGTAGTCGTTACGACTTGCGCCTCTGGCTCGCCGCGTCTGCGTGAGCAGGAAGAAGCTGCTGGTCAGCCATTGCCTGGCGCAGCTGGCCAGGATTGGCCGGTGCCCTTCCACGCTCGAGACACGGGTCTCCCGGGGTTCCATGGGTCTCGCCTTCGATCGGCCAGAACACCCCTTGATGCGTTCCGGGCCCCTGGCCGCAGGTGTCAAGCATCGCTGCCGTGGCTCCGCGAGTTCGCGCCATTTTGTCGCCTGGGCAGGAGAAGGCCGCTGCTCGTTCATCACCTACCTGTCCGCGGTCGGAGCACGTCGTGCCGCGAAGTCCCTCGGTCTCGCGTCCGCTCGGCCGTGGTCCTGTGGGCTGCTTTGCTCCTGGGGGGCCTCGGTCCGTCTCATGAGCCGCCGCGGTCCCCCCGAATCTCGCGCCCCCTGGAGCGCAGCCGTCCGCCCTCTGTCATTTCTCCTCCGCTGATTGTTCTTCTTCTCCTCCTTCTCCTCCTTCTTCTTCTTCTTCTTGTCCGCCTCCCTTCCTTCGTCCCCCCCTTGTCCGCCGCCGCCTTTTCTTCGTCGCTTTCCTCCCCTGATCCTCCCCTGATCTGTCCCAATACAAATGCTCCTCCTTTCCCTCCTGATCCTCCCCTTCTCTCCCCCTTCACCCCCTCTTCCGCTTCATCGCTTCGTCCTCCACCCGCTCCTTCGTCTCGTCCGGCATGTGTTCAGTGCGCTCCCAGCCCGCCCCTAGTCAGGCGGTGGTGGGGACATGTTCGGGGGCGGCTTCGACGGCTTTCAGGTCGCACGCGCTGGGAGGGGGAGGAGGAGAGGAAAGAGAATGAGGAGGAAGAGGAGGAGGAGGAGGAGGAGGAGGAGGAGGAGGAGGAGGAGGAGGAGGAGGGGAAGGCGAGCAGGAGGAGGAGGAGCGGGAGGAGGAGGAGGAGGAGGAGGAGGGGGAGGAGGAGGGAGGAACCAGAGTAAATCCCTTTTCGCTGCAAGAAGCGCCCCCTGAAACACCAACGCCCGATGGGCCTGCTGTTCAGTCGAGGGCCTTATTTTGTAGAGGGTCTAACTGTCTTGCATTCGTCTGGCGCGCCAACAGGAATGCGAAGCAGCATGATCATACAGTTCAGCGAGGTGTCCAGCGAAATCCCAGAGTTTTTTAACACACACACACACACACCACACACACACACCTCCCATCCGTGTACTTTGTGGACAACTTCACACTTGGCCTCGAACTTGGAGAAGGTCTAAAGCGATAGGCCCATCTTGGCAGTACACCGCCAGTTGCCGCATGTGTTGACACCTCTGTCTCCGTATCGACAGAAGTATCAAGCGGGAGGACAAGTTTGAGAAGGAGTCGTCCTCCATCTGGGTAGGTGTGGCAACGTGTGATGGCGAATTCGTGCGGCTCTCAGGCGAGAGACCCATTTAGAGAACGACCTGTCAAGCATAAGAATCAGGCGAAACGCCGAGCCCCCCCCCCACCGACAAAGGGATCTAGAAGGGGGGTCGGCGGAGGAGGCGAGGGAGGACGACGAGCCGGAGACGGCGGAGGAGAAGGACGCGGAGGAAGGGAACGCGGAGAAGCAGGAAGGGGACGAGGAGGCGAAGGTGGAGGCAGAGGAGGCAATTGGGAAGGCGTAGGAGGAGGAGGAGGAGGAAGAGGAGGAGGAGGTGGAGGAGGAGGATAATGGGGGGAGGAGGACCACGAGGGCGAGAGGGAGAGAGAGAGAGAGAGAGAGCGAGCGGAGGAGGAGGTGGTGGCTGTGGGCCCAGACCCCCTCGAGCCGTGAACAATTATCCTGGCGAAGGACCCAACCATAAGCAATTGTTCGTAACGCGTTGTGGGTGCCGCTTTCGGTGGGGCTCCCTATGGGGCCACGAAGCGCTGCCCTGGGTGGGGGAACCGCATGCGAGAGCAACCACTGGGGCCTTCGGTGGAGCTCCCTATGGGGCTACGAAACGCTGCCCAGGGTGGGGGAAACGCATGCGAGAGCAACCACTGGGGCCTTCGGTGGAGCTCCCTATGGGGCCACGAAGCGCTGCCCAGGGTGGGGGAAACGCATGCGAGAGCAACCACTGGGGCCTTCGGTGGAGCTCCCTATGGGGCCACGAAACGCTGCCCAGGGTGGGGGAAACGCATGCGAGAGCAACCACTGGGGCCTTCGGTGGAGCTCCCTATGGGGCCACGAAGCGCTGCCCAGGGTGGGGGAAACGCATGCGAAAGCAACCACTGGGGCCTTCGGTGGAGCTCCCTATGGAGCTACGAGGACCCAACACCACAGGATGGTTTGGAAAAACACGACAGGGGGAAGTGTTTATCATGTTCGGCCGCTGGGGGGACTTGCCCGGCCTCGGGGCCGTCAAAAAACGACTCAGGAGCAGAAGCCAGTCCTAGGGACTGGGGCAAGACCTTTGGGGTCGACGTTGTGAAAAGATCATGACGTCGGGGGGCTGAGGAGGAGGATGAGGAGGAGGAGGAGGAGGAGGAGGAGGAGGAGGAGGAGGGAGATGACGAGGAAGACGCTCTTGGGGGGAAGGACATCTTGATTGGACCCCCTTTGAAAGGAGCCCAGAAGGGCGCGGTCCAGCACCAAGGACAAAGCCACTGGCCGCGCTGCTACGGCTTCGGAGATCGAGAGGTACCTCCCTGTTTTGTTAATCTGGCCCGATGCCAGCGCAGTGGCTCACACAGGAAGGTTGCTTCAGCTTCCGTATCTCTTTCGCAGCCCGCGGCGTCGCGAAGCTCCGAAGCAGGGCTGCCACGGCTGACTGCCTGGCGTCAAGCCAAGTGGAGTTTCGGAGGCATGCCAGGGCCCTTGCGGCCACGCGTCTATTCATCGGTGGGTCTCGCTGTTCGTCTGGGAATCCCGTCGCCTCGCCTCATCGGGCCTGCCGTCGCTGACCCATCTGTTGGCGCTTCGTCTTGGACAGGACCCTCGTCAGGTCTGGGCTCCCTTGAGCCGGTCGCGATCCCGAAGGGCGCCCCCCCCCCCCCCCGAGAGGAGGAGCCCTCCTCCCCCGAGCCGCCGGGAGGCGGCGCCGGCGCCAGCGCAGCCGCCGCAGGAGACCGTTTTCACTTCGCTGGTTTCGCGTCGGAGGGCGAAGGGCAGGAGGGCAGCGCGGGGAGGAAGCAGCACCGAGGTTTCGGGCGCCTCTTCGGTGCTCTGCAGGCTTCGCGGAGACCCAGGAGACCCCGTTGGAGGAAGAATGGGATGGGCGGCATCAGCAGGGCAGCAGCAGCGGCAGCGGCGCGCAGGCAACGGCAGAGTCTGGGGAGGTGGAGGATAGGGTTGTGGACGGGGGAGCAGGAGCAGGAGCAGGTGGAGGAGGAGGAGGAGGGAGGAGGAGGAAGAGGAGGAGGAGGCGGACTGTTTTGCTCCACTGCATGCGTATTTCTCCCCTCTCCGTTCGGATCGTCTTCGGATTCGTCATGACTCAGTTTATCGCTCGCCCGGTCTCTCCTCCCCACACACCGCCTGGCTGGCGCATTCTCTGCGCCCCTCGGAGCCCTATTATTTTCTTTGTCTTGATGCCGTTCCAACTCGGCTGCGCTAGCCATGGCTAATTTGCTTGTCGCACCGCTAAGTCGGCGGTCTTTTTTTCATGCACGCTCCAAGCCTCCGCCTGAAGTTTGCGCAGCGTCAGAGAAGGAGGAGGAGAAGGAGGAGGAGGAGGAGGAGGAGGAGGAGGAGGAGGAGGAGCAGCAGGGTCTTCGGCCCAGGGTTTTCTTTTAGCATCGTAAGCCTGTCCCCGGTGCCCCTGCTGAAGGAGGCCGGCGGAATCTTTTCTTGATCAAGCGATATCACAGGGGGCCCGGGGGGTTGTTGTTTGAGGTAACTCACAGGGTGCGGGGCATTTCTTGGGTCGAAGAAGTGATCCCGTGCGTGCCCGTTTGAGGAAAGTGCGCCCAGGGGGATATCTAACATGAGGTCCCTGGCCTCTTCGCACGAACAAACACGTGCGCGGAGGGGGTATGGAACATGGGTCTGGTGCCCGTGCATTTCCCAAGTGTTTTTACATGTCCAGGCCACCTATGGAGATGTCTAGCATGGTTGTACCGATCTGGGACAACGTTGTTTTCGTATCAAGGCCGCCCAAGTGATATAGGCGGTACCTCAAGTGGTATACGAGGTATTTTCCTTGGCGTCGGGCCCAGCGCCGAATTATCAGGAAACGCACGGGGTGCCGAAAAGCACCCCCCGGAGCACAGATCCCCGTATTTAAGAAATGCGTTTCTGCCTTGTACAGGGGGTGGCGCTTAGGGGGCATTGCGAAGATGTCTCCAGGGGGAGCGCGAATTTAGCGTATCCAGGCCGCCCAGGGGGGTATCGAACATGATTGTCCCGAGCCGGAACCACGTGGTTCCACGTGTCCAGGCCGCCCAGGTGGATATCTAAAATGGTGCCCCCCAGGTGGAACCACGTGTTTTCACGTGTCCAGGCCACCCAGAAGGGTCCGCCGTCCCTTGTTGATTCATCACAGGAGTGCCTGGCGTGCTGGATCCTTTCGGTTTGGGTTTTAGTTGTTTTCCATAAGAACCCCCTGGGGCTTCGGCCCGTCCCGCCGGCCACACGAAAGGAATCTCAATCCCTGAAGAATCCCCCAAGACGGCTCAAGATGGCCTTCAAGATGGCCACGTTGGCCCAAGATGGCCTCCAAGATGGTCCAAGATGGCCTCCAAGTCTGCCCAAGATGGTCCAAGACGGCCTCCAAGACGGCCCAAGAGAGTCCAAGATACCTCCAAGTTCGCCCAAGAAGCCTCCAAGACGGCCCAACACGACCCAAGAGGTCTCCAAGAGGTCCTCCAGGAGGGCCCGAAGAGGCCAAAATCATTGGTTGTCCTTAGGTTTTTGAAGGATTTGGGCATTTGCTTGTTCTCGGCATTCCGACGGCTCAAGACGGCCCAAGAGGCCCCCAAGATCGCCCCAAGATCGCCCACTAGGCCTCCAAGATGGCCCCATGACGGCCCAAGAGGCCCCCAATACGGCTCCAAGAGGGCCCCAAGAGGCATCCAAGACGGTCACGATAGCCTCCAAGACGGCTAAGATGACCCCAAGATGCTTCCAAGACGGCCCAAGATGCATCCAAGACGGCCTAAGATAGCCTCAAGATTGCCCAAGTCGGCCCAAGAGGCCCCCAAGAGGTCTGCAAGACGACCCAAGAGGCCTCCAAGAGGTCCTCCAGAAGGACCCGAAGAGACCAAAATCATTAATGCCCCTGAGGTGTTTGAAGGATTTTGGCATTTGCTTCTTCTCGGCATTCCGACGGCTGAAGACGGCCCGAGAGGCCCCCAAGATCGCCCCAAGATCGCCCATGAGGCCTCCAAGATGGCCCCACGACGGCCCAAGAGGCCGCCAAGTGAAGGATTTGGGCATTTGCTTGTTCTCGGCATTCCGACGGCTCAAGACGGCCCAAGAGGCCCCCAAGATCGCCCCAAGATCGCCCACTAGGCCTCCAAGATGGCCCCATGATGACGGCCCAAAAAGCCCCCAAGACAGCCCCAAGAGGGCCCCAAGACGGCCCAGGAGGCGTCCAAGACGCCCAAGATGGCCTCGAAGACGGCCCTGAAATGCCCCAAGAGGGCCCCAAGATGACCCAGACAGGCCCGCATGACGGCTTCCGACGGCGCCAGACAAGCAAGGAACGCCCTAAGACGGTCAAATAGACCCCCAAGACGTCCCCAAAGGCTCCCAGCAGGCCCAAGGAGGCCCCAAAGAGGCATCCAAGAGGCCCCCAGCAAGCTCCCAGGAGGCCCCAAGAGTGCACCAAGAGGCGCCCAAGATGCCTCCTCCTCCTC